GGCTCTGCTCGACCCAAGCTCTCCAGAGCATGCTGCGTCTCCCCCTTCCTCTGGCATGCTACCTCATGCCTTTTGACTCCATTCGGTGTGAACGGCTTACTACAGTACTTGCAGGGAACTGATTCGGCCGGAGAGGCAGGTTTGGGGCCACGACGACGGCCACCCATAATATGTACAAGTAACTGAAGAGGGAAACACTGATGAGTAAATCTGGGACGCCATAATAGTGAGAATAGGACACAATGATCAGATTTCGACTTACAGAAGGGTATGTACGCGCTATATGCAGCAGAAGGTGAGGGCAGAGGACGGACGGTGTTGAGACGTTATCACGATGGTCTCGAGATCCCTCGTCGCCGCATTAGGATGATCTCGATTTGATCAAGATAGCATTATCTTATCTAAACGGTCTCGAGATCCGTACTTTAGACGCTTCCAAGATCTCTGTATTGAGATACCAATCTGGTTTTTCCGACACATCTTTATCGGGTCGAGGCCAGCTATCAATCCCAGACGTGCCCGTCCTCCCGCTCTTCGCAGAGCTCCCCTTTGTGATCGACATCACAACGACGACCGCCCCGCTCGCCCGCGCCAAAGCCGATGCTCTACCCCCCGATAAGCCTATCTTCCCCGCCCCGCCCGTGGCGCACAGCGAGATTCAATTTCGGCTATACCGCAATCTTGTCCTCAGCCCAAAGGGGTATGTGTGGACGACTGACGATGCCGTCGCGTGCTTCTTCGGAGCCGGGATCGACGCAAGGGATGTCGTCGCTGACATAGACTTGCCTGAGAAACAGTGGGTTGTTGACCAAGTTAGCCCACACGATGGAGAGGAGAAGGGGAGTTGGGTGCAGCGCTCGGTGTTCACGTCCAAGTTCACGCTGAACCTCCCTCCAACGTTCGTTGCGCCCGGGCTCACCGTCCAGGTACGTGTCTCGTGTCGTGTCTCGTGATCCGTGTGTCTTTGAACTCACACCTATTTTCATCTATCGTGCGACGTGCAGTACTACTTGTCACTCGAGGTGCCATTTCCGGGTATAGGGAACGACATCCGCATCCAGGTACCCGTCGTGATCAGTTCGGGAATCACTGAGTCTATGCCACGATCCCAAACTGGCCAGCCCCAGTCCCAGCCCCAGCGCTCGTCTTTGCCTCTCCGTCAGCCAGACCCTGTAGCGATCTCGTCGAGTTCTGCTAGTGATGCAGGCTCGGATGTCCGATCCCCAGCCGCTGCTTCAGGTCCTGCCCCGGCTTACAAGCCCCGATCACCCAAACGTGACTTGAGTCTGCCGCCGTACGTCTCTTAGATGCAAATAGGGCCATCGGTCTGAATCTGATGCATCGTTGCAGGGAATACTGGGAGGCGGCGAACAATGAAGATGGGGGCCACTCGACCAAGAGGGCTTGAAGTGACGTAGCTATGTATCCGCGTTCAGAACAACTGAATATCAAGCTTCATCGATCATCCCCTGAGCGCCCTTCTAGACACGCTTACCCTTCACGCGTTACAGACACAATCTTTGGGCCTGAAGAGAATGTCTCGCCAGTCTCGGTCGCAGTAAATATGTCTGCGTATGTGGGTGGCGTGCCGCTATACCTCAATTTGACTGATCGGGGAATGTGGTGAACCTGCAGGAAGCGCAGCCGCTGCTCGCGTATCACTGCAACACTTTCTTAGATGTCGATGACCGACTAGTCGCCTGCGAAAATTCTAAAGCCTATGTAGCGGATACATCGCGATAGCTCAGGTCACGCCGGACCCCGCCAGGAGCGTAACTCGCTATACCCTCTCACTGCCCGCTGTGGGAAGGTAGCAGCGACGAACAAGGTGCAAATTTTGTGCGTCGCCATGCTCACGCGCTGTCTCACGGAGATGTGGCAATTGTGTTCAATTTGCTTGTTGGGCCGTGTGTCCGCTTGTCCGAGTCACCGGCGCTGTCCTATTCTTCGTGCTCCTATCGAGAGAGCTATCGCGAAGACGCGAAGGGTGACCCGATGTATCCGGCGGAAACAGACATGTGGCGCGACGCTCGAATTTCTGGGGCTTGATTGCCGTCGAGCGCCCTTTTAATGCATCGCCTCAAGATCTGGCGTATTTCATGGAAGACGAGGCGAGCGTGTAGGAATTTTTGGTGGAACGCCACGACGATGTCGATATCTGTCAGAAGGAGAAGCACTACCTACCCTCCAGCTCCTGGACTGAGCCGGTCCCCCTCTCCTAGTCCTGTTGGGGCCTTCACAGTTGAGATTCCGCCAACACTGTATTGCGCAGGAAGCTTTATCGAGGGCCATGTTATACTCAACTTCATTCAGCTTCAGCACGAAAACATCGAGAGGGTAATTGTGAAATTCCGCGGCATGACTTGGGTGTACGTCGTCATGTAACCATCACGTCTCTAACCTCTGAACTCTGACTACGTGCCTCCATTGTGGACTACAGGACAGTAGGACGCGGATATGGCGAACAAGCAGTAGTACGCGAGCGGCGCGAGATTATCTCACTCAAGCGCGAGCTCTGGTACCGCGGATCCGCCTCCCCCCTACCAGGCGAGTACAAGCTGCGCCTCCCGTTTCGCTTCCACATTCCCGCAGAGCCGTACATCCTGCCGTCGATGTATTTCGACGAGCTCAAGGACCACGTGAGGGTACTATACTCTGTCATCGTGACAGGCGTACGTCCGTGGACGCCGCACCTAAACAGGATTATACGAAGGCCGCTCGCGGTCGTCTCAAAGGGTAATCCAAAGTTGATGAACAAACTGCTCAACGTGAGTAGACCTGTCACTCCCTCAGACGGGAGTTCGTCGTCGACGAAGTGGCGACGGGCATTTAAAGAGCGGCAAGTCCGGCGTGGGCTGTTCGGCGAGCATTCCGCTGCGCGGGTAGAAGTACGTAGGCGCTCTTCCGGTCCGATTGTAAAGTAGTGCTGATTGTACGCCATACGGCCGTCCACGACAGCTTTACGTACCGTTCACGTCGGGTACTCTTCCACTCTTTACTGAGATCCCCGTTGTCATCAAAGTGAAGACGACGACCGCTTGCATGTCGCGCTCGAAAGCAGACAAGCATGCGCCAGAGAGGCCAATATTCCCTGCGCTCGAGCTCGAATACTATCCGGTACATCTTCGACTGCGTCGGAGGCTCGTCCTCCGCGCGGAAGCGGACACGAAGGAGTGTCTCTCAGATATTTGGTCGACGGCCCTACGGAAGGACGCGCTGAAGCCTGTCACAACAGAGAAGGAGTGGGTCACAGAGATGTGTCCGGAGAAAGGAGTGCGAGAAGACTCGGGGCGGTGGGTTCAGAGATGGAAGCTCCAGACGAGGGTACGACTGGATGTCCCGCCGACGTTCTCGAGCGAACTAGTGGACTGCACGGTGCGTCACCCTGTGTGCAGCAGCGGCAGCGGTGGGTGACTGACAATTCGTAGTATGCCTTGTGGCTCAAGGTACCGTTTCCCGGCATGGGGAACGATGTGACGCTAGAAATGCCCATCACACTCGATTCTGCTATCGATCAGGCTATACCCTGGGCAATGCCCCACCGGCGATCGTCGACGTTCTTGAGAGCTACTTCGCCAGCCACCCTTATCGGACCACAATCGAATGAGGACGTCTTGGGTCTACCGCCGTGAGTACTCCGATTATTGACCACATGGATACCGTTTGACTGCGTTCATAGTGCGTATTGGGACGTGAACAGCTACGACTGGGGTGTCATAGACAACGGTGATTGATAGTGGTATCTTGCAGGAGACACAGAGCCCTAGGCTCGGTGGCGGTGACAAGATCGGGAGATAGATTCGTACCATTGCACTCATTGCGATAGAGACAACCCGCACATCAGGAATTCGACATGTCCTGTAGCGTCGCGGTTTGGTGCCGATTGTCAATCCTCGCTCGCATATTCTGACATACGTCGCGACCAGCATGCGTGGTCAGCATGAACTCCCGTGAATCGTCCGAGCTGTCACCGCATTAGCTAAGATGGGGCGAATGTTTGATGCATGCCTTCGCCGACTGGCTAATTGACGTACAGGCTAGGCTTTTCACAGTCGCGCTGTATTGGATGTCATTGACAATCATCTGCAATAGACGATCGGGAGAGCTTCCTATCAAACATATGGGAGATGAGATCGAAAACCATGCTGGCCGGATCTCAACATTTCCTTCGAGCTCGCGAATAGATCTATACCGGCATTGTAGTATCTACCTATACCGCGGCATGCTCCGTCCGTATCAATCCAGTGCAGGCAGGGTAGCTTCATTGTATATCTCAGCCCCGCGTCTACCTCGCGCCCCAGCGATGGCCGTGACCTAGCTTGATAGTGCGACGAAAGCGCGCACAAGAACGAGGATGAGCAGGAAACATTGCTTTCGCTATGCGAAGTCCCAAGACAAACGGAGAACATAGAGCTGATCTAACTACGGTCTGTCATAGACATCCCTTCGTGAACTACGTCCTATCATTCCAGCGTACGTCTGACCTGATACTACTAGTCCGGGGTATATGCTGGCGGCAAGGCGACATCGTTGTATAGCCGGAGACCCGAATCCATGTCGCGTTCTGGAAGCCGCGTCCCGGATTCGATGCGCAACGATAGCGCACCCAAAAGCGACTGTGCGCGCGGCCCACTCTGCGGCAGCGCAGACCATGGCGCGCGGGCCGCTTCGGCCACCAGCGTTGTTTTGACCGCGGTCATGACCGAAGCCATGACCGATTTTGACTAGCTTGACTGGTCATGACGGTTGGTCAAAGGTCAACGCGTGATCTAGGCGACCGAGCGCTTGTGGGGTCGCACTAATCACGTTGATTGGGACCAGCAGCTATGGATGGCCCGACTAATTGTGTATGCCTAGGTAGAAATTGTATAGAATTGAAGGAGCATTTTTCGAGGGGAGAGTGAGCGGAAGGTGTCAGATAATGTGAGCTGGAGACAACAGAGGCTGGAAGTATCAAATACTTCAACTCCGTCAGCGGTAGAAACTATTCGGACTGAAGCATTTTTCGACTCTTCTACCGGACAAATAATATTGTGAGCGTGCAGCTTCCTCCCGCACTCGCTATTCCCTCACCCCCTGACTACCTCCATGCACTAGCAAGACGGCGCCGCCTGGGAGCACC